ACAGATAATCCAGCTTGATCACACAGATGATCCAGCTTGATCACACAGATAATCCAGCTTGATCACACAGATAATCCAGCTTGATCACAGATAATCCAGCTTGATCACACAGATGATCCAGCTTGATCACAGATAATCCAGCTTGATCACACAGATAATCCAGCTTGATCACACAGATGATCCAGCTTGATCACACAGATAATCCAGCTTGATCACACAGATAATCCAGCTTGATCACACAGATGATCCAGCTTGATCACACAGATAATCCCGCTTGATCATACAGATAATCCAGCTTGATCACACAGATAATCCAGCTTGATCACACAGATACTCCAGCTTGATCACACAGATGATCCAGCTTGATCACACAGATGATCCAGCTTGATCACACAGATGATCCAGCTTGATCACACAGATGATCCAGCTTGATCACACAGATAATCCAGCTTGATCACACAGATAATCCAGCTTGATCACACAGATGATCCAGCTTGATCACACAGATGATCCAGCTTGATCACACAGATGATCCAGCTTGATCACACAGATGATCGAGCTTGATCACACAGATAATCCAGCTTGATCACACAGATAATCCAGCTTGATCACACAGATAATCCAGCTTAATCACACAGATAATCCAGCTTGATCACACACATAATCCAGCTTGATCACACAGATGATCCAGCTTGATCACACAGATGATCCAGCTTGATCACACAGATGATCCAGCTTGATCACACAGATAATCCAGCTTGATCACAGATAATCCAGCTTGATCACACAGATAATCTAACTTGATCACACATAATCCAGCTTGATCACACAGATAATCCAGTTTGATCACACAGATAATCCAGCTTGATCACACAGATGATCCAGCTTGATCACACAGATGATCCAGCTTGATCACACAGTAATCCAGCTTGATCACACAAATAATCCAGCTTGATCACACAGATAATCCAGCCAGATCACACAGATAATCCCGCTTGATTACACAGATAATTCAGATTGATCACACAGATGATCCAGCTTGATCACACATAATCCAGCTTGATCACACAGATAATCCAGCTTGATCACACAGATGATCCAGCTTGATCACACAGATGATCCAGCTTGATCACAGATAATCCAGCTTGATCACACAGATAATCCAGCTTGATCACACAGATGATCCAGCTTGATCACACAGATAATCCTGCTTGATCACACAGATAATCCAGCTTGATCACACAGATGATCCAGCTTGATCACACAGATAATCCCGCTTGATCATACAGATAATCCAGCTTGATCACACAGATAATCCAGCTTGATCACACAGATACTCCAGCTTGATCAGACAGATGATCCAGCTTGATCACACAGATGATCCAGCTTGATCACACAGATGATCCAGCTTGATCACACAGATAATCCAGCTTGATCACACAGATGATCCAGCTTGATCACACAGGTAATCCAGCTTGATCACACAGGTAATCTAGCTTGATCACACAGATGATCCAGCTTGATCACACAGATAATCCAGCTTGATCACACAGATAATCAAGCTTGATCACACAGATGATCCAGCTTGATCATACAGATGATCCAGCTTGATCACACAGATAATCCAGCTTGATCACACAGATGATCCAGCTTGATCACACAGATAATCCAGCTTGATCACACAGATAATCCCGCTTGATCACACAGATAATCCAGCTTGATCACACAGATGATCCAGCTTGATCACACAGATAATCCAGCTTCATCACACAGATAATCCAGCTTGATCACACAGATAATCCAGCTTGATCACACAGATGATCCAGTTTGATCACACAGATGATCCAGCTTGATCACACAGATGATCCAGCTTGATCACACAGATGATCCAGCTTGATCACACAGATGATCCAGCTTGATCACACAGATAATCCAGCTTGATCACACAGATGATCCAGCTTGATCACACAGATAATCCAGCTTGATCACACAGATGATCCAGCTTGATCACACAGATAATCCAGCTTGATCACACAGATAATCTCGCTTGATCACACAGATGATCCAGCTTGATCACACAGATGATCCAGCTTGATCACACAGATAATCCAGCTTGATCACACAGATGATCCAGCTTGATTACACAGATAATCCCGCTTGATCACACAGATAATCCAGCTTGATCACACAGATAATCCAGCTTGATCACACAGATAATCCCGCTTGATCACACAGATAATCCCGCTTGATTACACAGATAATCCAGCTTGATCACACAGATGATCCAGCTTGATCACACAGATGATCCAGCTTGATCACACAGATAATCCCGCTTGATCACACAGATAATCCAGCTTGATCACACAGATAATCCAGCTTGATCACACAGATAATCCCGCTTGATCACACAGATAATCCACCTTGATCACACAGATGATCCAGCTTGATCACACAGATAATCCAGCTTGATCACACAGATGATCCAGCTTGATCACACAGATAATCCAGATTGATCACACAGATGATCCAGCTAATCCTGGCATGCACAGCTGCATAGTGCTGTGAAAGAGGCCCACGCAATAACATTCCCAGCTTCCAGGATCATTAGGCGCGATGCTGGTCTAGATATTTTCATCTGCCCTGTCGAAACTTGGTGGTGACGTAAGCGCTTCTTTGTTTGCAGTGGCGGATCGTGACATGTCGATTAGATGGGGCTGTTGTGAGTGACCTCTGAAAATATGGTGTTTATATTATTTGGGTCTTTCGGTATAGTCACATAGACAGGTTATTTAAACTTATCTACGTGACTTTGCCGAAAGACCCATATAATAAGAATTCCTGCAGTCACGAAAGCTTTAAGTCAAGATTTATGGTGTTTTAATGAAGAAAAATGTCGTCATGTTATTGGCCTTCCCGTGAAAGTGATACATATGTCTTACCTACCAACGGTATGCATTTATAAACAATGCGAATCAAAACAACAAAGGACTCAAATGCTGTCCCCATGACCCTCAAGTCCACACGAAACAACCCCTTTAACTCTGCCAAGAGCCGTGAGCTGCTGTACTAGCCCAGTGCCACCTCGCGTTGTGACATTGTCTCACTACAGCCATGGGCGCCTTTTTCACCGCCATGAATGGGTCTCAAAACGGCGTGGCTACAATGCGAAGCTCATCGCAACGAATGAAGAAGGGAGATCTCTCACTCGGACGCCTTCACAGCCGCCCCGAAACCTCACCGACTGTGGTGTTGCAGCGGTTTTGAATATGAACAACTTAAAGTGTTATGTTCATTAAGTAATTCACGTTGAAAGAATCATATTTTAGTTGTTTTAAACACAACAAAATTACAGAAAAGTACTTTTTTATTAGAAAAATAATTTCTCATCTCCAGCTGCTTGGTTTGCAGCGCCCCAACAACGCCCCTAGTGGACGAACCCCGCCTATTTGTCTTGTCGACAAAGCTAACTTCATGGGACCTCCTTTGCCAGTACCAAAATATAAGAGCAGGGTTTCCCTTTTTTCCTGGCAACAAAACAGGTGTTAAGATGTGAAAACACCAAACTGAGGCCATTTACAAGGAATCATGTTCAATCACGACAAAGCTAATATTTTCTCCTGTCGGTCTTCCGTTTAAATTTTAAGTTAAGAGGAATGGCCATTTTGAGAGGTTGAGATTAATAGGTGAAGGTCGAAGATTTATCCTTTTACCACCTTTAACCTAAGCACTATAATGTATGGGTACAGCTGGGTTCGTGTCTTTGCCCTCCACATAATCCGATCGTTCGTCCTGTGCGAGCTGGCTGCCTGGCTGGCGCGCAGCGGGCGCGGTCGTGACTGCGTGATGACGTCAAACGCATCCCACAGCGTCGAGCCAGGTTCGTGCGCCATGACGTCACCCGCATCCCACAGCGTCGAGCCAGGTTCGTGCGCGCTGACGTCACCCGCATCCCACAGCGTCGAGCCAGGTTCGTGCGCGTTGACGTCACCCGCATCCCACAGCGTCGAGCCAGGTTCGTGCGTGCTGACGTCACCCGCATCCCACAGCGTCGAGCCAGGTTCGTGCGCGATGACGTCACGCCTCGCCCCCCCCACCTTCCCCGGCCGTGGGCGGCTGTCGCCGTCCAGTCCGAGACAAAGGGCTGGCTGGGTTGGTGGGAGGGAGACATGGCCACGTACAAAGGACGTGCGGGCTGCTGGTTTACTACTAAACTACTGTTTGACCCTAACCCTGAACGCCGATCACAACCCTAACTCTCAAGTTCTGCTGCACTACTATAAATAACCATGAGGACCCAGCGAAGAGAACGAAGCGGGAACCCCAGGGGACTCCAGGGCTGGCGGGAAAGTGCTGCCCCTTTTGTGTGTGCAAGAGGTCACTTGAAGGAATTTCATGAATAGCTGTGATATACACTTTCGTGAGCCGTTCTCTAACACGAAGGGTTGCGCTGCTCTGCGAGATTTGCGTTTGTATTGTTCACATCACGACTTGACGCCAATAGAGGTGCAGTGGAAAAGTGCAGTCCTGTAATTTCTTACTCATGAAAGGGCCTTTACTCAAACTCTAGAGGGTCCTTGGCCTACTCTTCCATGCTGACCAGACGTGTTGGAAGAGGTGGATGTACCCACACTTTGCCCCACCACATGCGACCCTGCCGATCGATTAACTTCCGATTTCTACTGTGGGGTGGGCAGGCGGGGTGGAGGGATTAAGGAACCTGCACCATTGATTGATGGAGCTGAGTGTAATGTGGGCCGATGGGATGTGTGAACAAAAACTTTTATGGAGGGACCGATTTAAGAAGCGGGCGTGTTGTCTGCTAATGTATTACGTTCCTTATATTCTCCACAATCGACTTCTCGGTGAAGCTTCCCGCAGCCACCGCCACCTCTCAGGATTCTGCGGTGGAACAATCCCGTGCCTAATTTTATATATACACATCACATGCAACCAGACCAATAACAAAGCAACGTCGGAAAATATAATCAATAGTGCTCCTACCCCAACAGCCCGTGCGCCGCCACAATTATTAATATAATTATTCTGCGGCTGGGTGGAGCCAATACACAAGCCAGCAACGTCAGAACTGAGGAGGCAGAGACGAGAGAGAGGACACCGAGAGGAGGAGGGAGCTTGGATACACGGTGTGTACGCGTGCTCTGGCTGCAAAACTATGCCACCATAATGGTGGATTGGCGTGACAATGGAGGAGCCCCTGGGCGCTCCGATGGCTGCGTGTCATGCTCATTGCGTGTTCTGCTGCTGTGATGGGCATGGTTGTGTTCTGAATGAGTCATGCCTGCCGATGTTCTCTATTGTATTCGCATGTCTATGTACTGTATATTCATACATTGTGTTAATTTATGCTGTCGTGAGCCATGTATATATGAGCACTTATATACAACGGTGCATTAATTATATTGTAATTCAGCTGTCATGCACCGTGTGTTAATTTCCGTTCCATCGTCCGTGTGTTCATTCTGCTGTCTTAAACGTGCGTTCATATTGCCGCATGTACCACGCCCTGGATCAGTGCGATGAGAATGGACGGCGTGACCAGTGATGCACTGTCTGCTTTATCTTGTCAATGCTCGATGCTCGCGTGGTTAAACTAATTTAGTTTTTATTTTGCATGGGTTATTGTGCTATCGATGGACTGCATCGTTGTGCTATTATAGTTCCGCCTTGTTCATTATTTTGTTGATGGGCGGTGTCTTGTGAACGCTTTGTACTCGGGTCGTTAGAATCGTTCATTTTTTTTATTAACGGTAACCGCGTGAAATAACGCAAAAAATGCTTCAAGAAACGGTTGCTGAGCAAAGGCCCAAAACGTTATCCAGCCAGAAACAAATAGCATTGTCACAATTATGCAATATTATTGTACGAGCTCGGTGAATATAGACGATGATAGGGAATTCCAAAGTGGAGCAGTGCGAGGAAATATGCAGCAAGAGAAGTGTTGTGACCTGAAGTGTGGTGAGTGGCGTTAGTGTATAGTAAGGCAGTGAATAGGTGCGTATAAGTGTGTAGTGCCTTGTAAAATAACTGAGACGGACACCTGCTTACACTTTATTAACCTACTAGTGGGGAGTACCCAGCGTTGCCCGGGCGAAAAAGACACACACACATCGACTTACACACACAGACTTGGACCGACACACGCACATCGACTCACGCATATATGGGCTGACACACACATGGACTTATAGTTCCATAGTTCCATTTATTTGGTATAGCCCTGTGAGCCATTTGGCTCTTGAATCGGGTGTAACCGCAACAAACAAAAAAAACAAAAACATGAACAAGAAAACATCTTAAAGTGATTATGTGACTGTGCAAACAGAAAATCCAGGAAGAAAACATCAAAATATTTCTGAAGTAGCACCATAAACCAACGCTGTGTGCAAAAATCCCAGTGGGATGCAAGCCAAGCAACAACAACAACAACCACAAGACAACTAAGATTAAGGCCATCAGTCTAACTCCGTATTACAATAAACAAAAACATGGCCAAACCAATCAAACGTTTTCGAAATCACCAAAATAAAATCCATAAATGCAATGTAACAGTGATCATAGGGACTGTGACCGAATTTTTTACAATAAACTACATAAATAACATGTAACACCAAACCCTAGAGCCATATTTTAGGCCACTGAATAGCAGTTTTGAGTGAAGATCTCATAGGTAGTGATTCAAGTTGCAGTTTATTGGCAATAGCATTCCAGACCCTGGGGGCATCAATAGCAAAGGCCCTTTCTTCCGGTTTTTGTACGGCAATAGGGAATGTGAAGCTGGTAAATGAGCGAAGACCTGAGGTCAAATTTGTTCTTTGAAACAGAGAGGAGATCCATTAGGTAGTCTGGGGATTTTTTGTAAGTACACCGTGAATAAATAAGATTGGTGCACAAGCCGTCGAACATTAAGAGATGTTAAGTTTGACCCAATGTAGAGATCACAGTGGTGAGTCCTATATGGGCGGTTCAATGAAAATCTTAAGGCCGAGTGATAGATGGAATCAAGCTTCTTCAGTACAGTACTTGGGGCTGATTTATACATGATGTCACAGTAGTCAAGTAGAGGCAGTATGGTAGCTTTTATCAATTCCAAACGGAACATTGGGGGGAAGCAGTGCTTGTGTCGATACAGAAAACCAATTTTTGTCTTTTTACCAATATAATCAATGTGATCTTCAAAATTCAGTTTTGAATCCAGGATGACCCCAATATACTTATAGATCTTGACTTGCTCTATTTGATAATTATTTAAGGAATGTAATTGGTGAAAAATATCTTCCTGCTTTAGTCCTGGTGAGAAGCATAGCACCTTGGTTTTGGAGGTATTCAGGACTAGTTTAAGAGCAACTAGCTGATGTTGTAGTTTGTTGAAATCACCCTGGAGCTTAGCAATCACGTCATCCGGAGAGCGGCCAGCAGTAATCAGTATCGTGTCATCTGCAAAACGATTTACCCTGGAATGATCCAGGTCAGTGCCCAAGTCATTGACATAAAGAGAGAACAAGAGGGGGCCGAGGATGGAACCCTGTGGGGAACCCCTTTTGTTATCTTAACACTGTTTGACCTCCAACCATCTGTGAATACAGTTTGGGTGCGAGAAAAGAGGTAATTTTTTAACCATTGTACTGTGTTTTTGGGAAAAACCGAGGCAACTCAGTTTACTAAGCAGGGTGTTGTGGTCTACTGTATCAAAAGCTTTGGACAGGTCAAGAAAAAGACAGGCACAGTACTATACTCTTTGGTTCTATTGGGTAAAGTCACGTAGGTGAAATAATTTCACCTACGTGACTTTACCCAATAGAACCAAAGAGTATGGATCCTAGCAGTCACGAAAGCTTTAAATCTAGAAAGGCACAGTACTGCTTATTATCAAGGTTACTGTAATAAATTTTGATTTAAAGCTTTCGTGACTGCAGTAATTCATATTCTTAGCTCTTTCGGTAAAGTCACATTGAAGGTAAACAATAAAATAATAAAATATATATAAAATAAAAAATTCTCACGACGTTTCGACCATAACACAAACGGTCATCATCAGGTGTGTCGGTTTGAATAAATTTATTTATTTTCAAACGGTGTAGTTATTTATTTATTTAAAAAACACGTCGGCGCCACGCGCAGCGATTTGGCAGTTTATTTAGAAGGACTAGTCCATCTATGTTCTGAAAAGAGGAGGGGGGAGACGAAAAATTAATGTATGCTGTCTGAAAGCCACTGTAAGCGTGAACAATCAAGACCTGAAATGGTTTATCAAATCTTTCCAATGATTGCTAAGCCAGAATCCATCTTCTCGGTTGAAATTGTCTCTGTGCTTGTATATGTGGATAGCCTCATGAACGAATCTCTCATGGTAGCCAGATGGCTTACAAAGAACCTCTGTCTTGGAAAAGTCAATGTCATGTGAATGGGGTCCTGGGTGTACACCCACCACCGGAGTGGAAGAATGGCAGGCGCATCTTACAGATGACTAGTCGATGGTCAGAGGGCAGATCAGCTCCACAGTAGGTCCTGGTGTCAAGGACATGGGCTCGCATCCGCAGGTCCGTCACTATGTAGTCCAGCAGATGTTCTTGCTTGGACCCGGCATGCATCCATGATGTTGTGTGGATGTGCCAATGCCGGAACAGCGTGTTGGTAATTACAAGCCCATGGGCTGCACAAAAATCTAGCAGCATCCTACCGTTGTTATTGAGCTGATCTGGCCCATGCCCTCCAATCACTCCAGACCAGGTGCCACCATCATGAACAACTCGGGCATTGAAGTCACCCAACAAGATGACTCTATTCCGAGGGGCCACTTTAGCCAGCACCTGTGACAGGAGGTCATAGAAGGCATCTGACTCATCGGCTTTGCCTGCATCCCTCCACGGATGTTCGTCTTCGGTGGGGGCATAAGTAACCACGACCACCACTCCTCGCCTCCAGTTGATTGGAAGGTGAGCCCAAAGTAACCTGGGGCTTACAGCTTCCAACACCTCACCGCCACGCTCCCACGCCCCCTTCATTTTGTTCAAAAGATCAGCCACACCCTGTTGTTTGGCAGTCTTCTGCCCCGAGTAGAGGAATGTCCACCCCTTATGGTGGCAGGAGCTAGAACCGGTCCACCGGACCTCCTGAAGGCCTCAGAGATCCAGGCGGTACTGGTCCAGCTCCCGACAGAGGAGTGGCAGCCTCTCCTCCGCAGTGAGCATTCGAACATTCCACGTGACCACACGAAGTGGCTTTTCGTTGTTTCTGGAGGAGCCCCGAGAGTAGAGATTAAATCTCCTGGCTCCACCAATTGGGGTTTGGCCAGGAGATGTCATAGATGCCTGTCCCCCCGGGGCCTCCGGCACAAGCTTATTAGTTACATATTTCAGTTGTGGTTTAGTGGCAATTTTTTTAAGGTGGAGGGGTTATCAGCCCCTCACACCCATCCAAAGCCCCCGTTTAGCCACTGTGGTGGTCACATACGCCATGAGGGGAGGAGCCAATCGGAAGTGGCCCTCCCCCCACAGCACTGTCCACGACAGAGTTGCCGGTCCGACACCACGACCCACACACAACAACAACCGGCATTCGCCACTAAATGGCGGTGACGTCACCACAACGCTTGTGCCAGGCCATATGCACCTTGAGGCCACGTGAAGTGTCGAACGCCCGCTGGCAGGAGGTCACGGGGCAGACACACACACACAGCGACTCACACACACATAGACCTACACACACACATGGACTTACACACACACACATATGGACTTACACACACACATCGACGCACACACACACTAATGGACTCACACGCACACACACATGGACTTACACACATCAACCCACACACACACATTGACTCACACACACGTGGATTTACACACATCGACTTACACACACATATTGACTCACACACACACACATCGACTCTCACACACACATCGACCCACACACACTCTAATGGACTCACACACACATGGACTTACACACACACATCGACCCACACACACACATATCGAACTGCATCTTCGCGGTTTCCCGCACTCGCACAAAATGACGGCCACACGTGCGAACCGCATCTCCGCGGTTTCCCACGCTTGCACAAAATGGCGGCCACCCCACCGCCTTTCTGACGCAGCGTCACAACCAGTTGCAT